ATAGGGTACATGCACTCACTGGAGACAGAGGGAGACCGAGAAGAGAGCAGGAAAGTGAGAAGTCAGCGCCCAGGGCGATGCCACGCCGCAGTCCTTTCTCCATTCTCCTACTGCTGGCCCTATAGTTAACATTAAAACAAAACACACAAATAACTTATTTATTCCGTGAGCAAGAGAGACAGAGAGATAGCACCTCCAGAACAGTCTCCATGTCACGCCCCATCCAGCCTCATGGGCACATGCGTGGAATGTTGACGGTCTCTGGGCACGAGCCCAGAACCTTACCAGGTGGCCAGGGCCGTGGGTGCTGTTTTTGCTGCACGCTACCCCAGGGGTAACGTTTGCTGAGCATTCGTCGTGAGCCAAGCTTATGCGCTGCTCACCCGACCTCACTGGGTCCTTCATGGGGAGGCAGTTGTCTTCATTTTCAGTGTGGTTAGTTTTCCTGAGGTGAGACATCTAGTTGACTCCTCAGGTTGTGCTGAGGGTTGAAAATACATAGTTCACTGATCTCAGTCAGTTCATGAGAAGCAACAGGAAATAACTTGTGGCTGTTGGTCACCAGTTGCATGCAGTCAAGACTTCTGGAATATTTTGTTGGGATCAGAGTACTCAGTGATGTTTGACCTTTGCTTCCCCCATAGCTTAACCTCTTTGATGTTCAAGAAAATCTGTAAAAGGACCAGCAGTTGGCTTAATGGCTATGTCGCTGGACTCCCACGTAGTCGACCACGGTTCAAGTCCTGGACCCGGTGGCTTAAACTCACGCTGGGCGCTTGTGCATGCATGCCCAAGATCCCAAGAGGAGAATGGAGGAGAAGGGATTATGGCATGGCCATCCCTCCTGGGGGGTGATTTCTCGCTTTCTCTCTGTCTTTCTGGCGAGTGCATGTACCCTATAGCAAAAACCTCTCAAAAAAAATCTGTAAAAAAAGGGTTATTTATTTATTTTTAAAGAATTGTTTATTTTTATTTATTTTTTAAGAGAGGTTTTTGCTATAGGATGTGTGCACTCACCAGAAAAACAGAGAGAGACAGAGAGAGAAAGCGAGAAATCACCCCCCAGGAGGGATGGCCATGCCATAATCCCTTCTCCTCCATTCTCCTCTTGGGATCTTGGGCACACACGCACATGTGCCCGATGTGAGTTTAAGCCACCGGGTCTGGGACTTGAACCACGGTTGGCTACATGGGAGTCCAGCGACATAGCCATTATGCTAACTGCTTATCCAAAGCATTGTTTATTTAATTGTATTTATTTATTAATTTATTTTAATTTGACCGGGGAGAGATACACAGAGAGAGAGAGGGAAAGTGAGAAATCTAGCCACCAGGTCTGGGACCCGAACAGTGATTGCCCATGTGGGAGTGTCCAGTGCCTTAACCACCATGCCACCTGCTGGCCCCTGTTAAAAGGATCATTAGCTTCATTTTTCAGATAATGAGTCTCGGACGCAGAGAGGATTAGATGGCTTGCCTGTGACCACAGAGAAGGTCGTGGAGCTGTGGCCTGGGCGGCCGGTCCTCAGAGGCAGAGTCCATGTTCTTTCCTGCTGCTCTGGAGGTCACGGACGGGGTGAGCCTAACCCCTTCAAGTGTATCTGTAGAAGGTGAAAGCACCTGGTTCCCTCGGCCCGGTCCTCCCCACATGTGACCCTGGAGACATCCAGGTCCTGGTTCCTGCAGGCTGGGGGTGTGACCTTCTGCAGCAAGAGGGATGTGCAGCTGAGGATGCAAAGGTGGCGCCGGGTGACCCGGCGGGCCCCAGTGTAATAAGTGAGAGGACTGTGGAGGGAGATTGGACTACTGGAAAGTAGGAGGCCGCAAAGGAGGCCAGAGGTTGGAGAGATGGGGGGGTGGTGGTCACGGAACACAGGGAGTCCTCGGAATGAAAAAGGCCAGGAACGAAACGCGCCCCTCAGAGTCGCTGGAGAAAAAGCCCCGCTGCCACCTCGGCTTCAGCCTTCTGCACGCCAGCCTTGTCAGGAAGCCTGTGTTTACCATGGAGCCACCTGACGTGTTGTACTTAGCTACTGCGGTCTTAGAAATGACTACTGGGTAGTAGTAGAGCCGCTCGCGCCCTCTGTCTACAACGGCGATGCTTAAACCCACTTTGAATCGGGCTGGGACGTGCAGAGGCAGACCCGGGCACCGCAGGTGAGGATGCCTCAGGTGTCGCTCGGACAGCCCTGGGCACCCCGCAGTGTTGTCCCAACGACACCCGCCATCGTCCCGGGTCTGTGCCTCAGTGACTCTTGCAGGTGCAGGCTCCTGCCACTGTGCCCCAGGGACCAAATTCTCTGTGATGGCTTCCTTCCGAGTGCCCCGTGGAGAGACTGGCACTTTTTGAGTGCCAGAATATAAATATAATACCCCCTCAGAGCGAGGACGAGAGCACAGGACGGTGCTTTTCAAACACAGCAGACTCGGGATGGGAACGGAGAGTGAGTGCTGTGCAAGCCGAATCCAGCGCCGAAGGGGTTTTAGCAGCTGGGGGTGAGAAAACGAGGACAGCGATGCTAGCAAACAGGAACGTGTCAGAAGTAAGCGGGCGGTCAAGCTCCAGGTCTAAACCATGGCATCGCCAAGCCTGGGGTTGGGGCTCCCTGCCTCATTTCATGCCAGGACAGGGACGGGGAAGAAACAGATGCTTATTTGATTGATGGAGTCCCTGGGGCCTGAGTGCTGCAGTTGTTTGCACGTAGAGGTAGAGGTGCAATAGCAATGCTCCGTTCACACCGAGCAGGGGGCCCCAGACATGCCCAGGACTGAGCCCTGGCAGCCATGGGCCAGAGCGCGGTCCTGTGCTGGACGGCGCATGGCCCCGTGTGTGAGCATGGTCCTGTGCGTGAACAGCATGCAACCCTGTGTGCATGCGCGGTTTTTGTGTGTGAATGGCATCCAGCTCGGGCCAGGGGCTGCCTGTGGGCGTCCCCAGGATCGTCAGAGAGAGCCTGGACGTGAGCCTGCAGCCCCCCCCCCCATGACCTCTGACATCACAGAGCCGTGTTTCCGCTGCCTGAGCCACTACGGAGTGAGTTCTGGAGGGCGACTCAGGCTTCGCGAGCGACGCAGCCCACCACACAGGCCCAGAGCAGTGACTCCTAGTGCCTCGCAGGTTTGCGTGGCTGGAGCCACACTCAGGCTTAAAACATTAATTATTATTACTGTTATTTGTTGTAGGTCCTGTGCGTTCACCAGAGAGAGAGGAAGAGAGAGGAAGAGAGAGGACGAGAGGGGACGAGAGAGGAAGAGAGAGGAAGAGAGAGGGGACGAGAGAGGAAGAGAGGGGATGAGAGAGGAAGAGAGAGAGGAAGAGAGAGGAAGAGAGAGGAAGAGAGAGGGGAAGAGAGAGGAAGAGAGGAAGAGAGAGGGGAAGAGGGAGGAAGAGAGGGGAAGAGAGAGGGGAAGAGAGGGGAAGAGAGAGGAAGAGAGAGGAAGAGAGGGGACGAGAGGGGAAGAGAGAGGAAGAGAGGGGAAGAGAGAGGGGAAGAGAGGGGAAGAGAGAGGAAGAGAGAGGAAGAGAGAGGGGAAGAGAGAGAGAGAGGGGAAGAGAGAGGGGAAGAGGGAGGAAGAGAGGGGAAGAGAGAGGAAGAGAGGGGAAGAGGGGACGAGAGGGGAAGAGAGAGGGGAAGAGGGAGGAAGAAAGGGGATGAGAGGGGACGAGAGGGGACGAGAGAGGAAGAGAGAGGAAGAGAGGAAGAGAGAGGGGAAGAGAGAGGGGACGAGAAAGGAAGAGAGAGGAAGAGAGAGGAAGAGAGGGAGAGAGAGGGGACGAGAGGGGACGAGAGAGGAAGAGAGAGGGGAAGTGAGAAAGCCACCAGGTCTGGGACTTGAACCACAGTCGGCCACGTGGGACTCCAGTGCCTTGACACCCATGCCACGTGCCGGCCCTCAGGACTCTGAGCAGTTGCTCTCCACGCCCCCCCCCACCTCCTGTGCTCCTCGGCAGCCTGCCACCCCCTGCTTTCTGCCTGCAGACACGCTTACCCTGGACCTGTTGTATAGACAGAGCCATGGGATACCGCGTTTTGTGACCAGCACGTCCCCTTCGCCTGGTGGTTTCGAGGCTTGTCCCTGTGGTAGCAGGTGTCAGCCTCGCAAGGCTTCTCACTGCCCAGTGACAGCCATGTGATGGTGGCGCTGTCTACCTCCCATTGCTGATGGGCTCACCTTGGGCGGGTTTTAGCCCACGTGTGGACAGCTCTCAGGCTGCACTGGGAGCGGGGTGTCTGGTCACACGGGAACTTGATGTGGATCCTTTGAGGGGCTGCCAGACATGCTCCGTAGCAGCCGCATGGCTTTGCATGTCCCGAAGGTCCCCATGGTGACGCGATGAGACTGCGACCTGCTGCAGGTTGGGGGGTCCTCTCTGCCCCCCTGGACATCACCAGCCATAGAACAGACAGTGCAGCACCTCCCGCTGGGGTTCCAGGGAGTGCCACCCCTCCAGGTTCTTGTCAGCCTGCCACGTCCGGATTCCCCCAGGGCCAGAGGCCACGGCTGACCTGAGTGGCCAGGGCTGGAGGGAGGTGATCGGCATCCCCATCCTGGGCACTGGTTACCTGGAAAATCCATCCACGGTTAAGTGGCATGGGGCCTAGATGTGTCACCCCCACTTCCGAGGACGTGACTCTTCTTGTAAGTGTCATCACTTTCTTGGCGTATCTGGGAAAAAGTGAGTCAGGAGGCTGACCACTATCCAGGCGCTTCCTCCAGGCCTGTGGCATTCTGCTCATTCCTGAGTGGGGGCCACTCCTGCAGGGCCTTTCCCGCTGGCCAGGCCAGGCATGGACAGCCAGAGTGAGGGAGAGGGAGGGCCAGGCAGGGTGCGGGCGGGAGCTGAGGCCTGAGCTCCATGCAGGCCCTTTGCAGAGCCCGGCTGGGCCCCTGGAGGGAGGCGTGGCCCATTTGTCCCCAGCTCTGCAAAGCCCCCAGTCCTGACCGCAGCAACCCACAGGCTGGCTGCCCACTGAGCCTCTCCCTTCTTCGTGTTGCAGCCACGGCACGGGGTACGAGAGCGAGAGCCACAGCACGCCCATCCTCTGCGGTGCCCAGTACAGAATCCACACCCATGGCGTCTTCAGGGGCATCCAGGTGAGGACAGGAGGTGCCCGTCGTCCAGGCTGCTGCCTCCTTCCGCAGGCCCTCGGCTCCTCCCTGAGCAGCAGGCTGGCAAGGTTCTCTTAATTACAGGCTTGTCTGACGCCAACCCCACCCCCCAAAAGACAGAGCAACCGAGGAGAAGGGATCGTGGTGTGACCCGGCCTCATGAGGGTAGGGGTGGGGGCTTCCCTCCCTCTATATCACCTTATCTGTTATCTGTATCTATCTGTCTGTTTAGACACACACACACACGCACACACACACACACGCCTCTATCTGGTGCGTTCATGCACTGTCTGCAAAAGTAAAAATAACGACAGTAATAGCACCACCGACAGCTGGACGCCTGCTGTGTGCCAGGCACCATGCTAAGTTTCACACAGAGCTTTTGAAAGAATAGACTGTTTTTTTAGAGATCAAGGTTTTCCGAAAAACCACACGGAAGGTGCAGAGCGCGGCTATACCTCCACCCCTCCGCCCCACGTGGTTTCCCCTCGTGGTAATACTTGTTTTAAGATGGCGGCTTGTTGCTGTGCTGGCCCCACTGACGAGCCGTCATTGTCTGGGCTCTTGCCCTGCATGTTCTTGGGGGCCTGGCCATGCAGCCCTGGGCACCCACGCACCCCGGAGGAGCACTGATGAGCTGCAGTTGATGCATTATTGTCATCGGAAGGCCATAGTTGACGTCAGCTTTTGCTTTTTGTCTGTACAGTTCTGTGGGCTCTGCCATCTGCCTGTCACAGGACGGTGCCACTGCCCTGAACACACCCTGTCATAGTGTGCAGTGGTGGAGCAGGGTCCCACGCACAGGCCTGTGACGCCGGTCCTGCGGGACAGAGGCCTGGGAACTGCCCGGGGCAGGGGCAGGCCTCAGGATGGAGGAAGTCAAGTGGAGAGGTAAACTTGTGGGGAGTACGGAGACTCCGAGGAGGCCAGTTCTGCGGAGCCCCTCCCGGTGGTCAGAGCCCCCTGGCTCTCCAGGGCTTGCAGCCATGACTTCCACTCATGACTCAGGCTGCCGCGTGGTAACAGAAGAGGCAGAGCCCTAGAAGTCTGTTGTGTGCGGGCCAGGCCCGTGTGCTCTGTGGACAGAAACTCGGACGTTCTGATTAATGTCTCCAGTGTCCCGGACAGAGCAGGCGTACCCTCATCCCGAGCCACCCACAGTGAGAAGTGAAGGCAGGGCTGCAGAAATGCGGGAGTCTGATGGTGTGAGCGGGACGTCAGGAAGCCCTCCTTCAGACAGATGCCAGGACCTACCTGACATCGACAACTCAACTTTTTCATTTTAAGAGAAAGATTTTTGCTATAGGGTGCGTGCACTTCCCAGAGAGAAAGAGAGAGACAGAGATGCAGAAAGCAAGAAATCACCCTCCAGTGGGGACGGCCATGCTGCAATCTCTACTCCTCCATTCTCCTCTTGGGATTTTGGGCACGCACGCACATGCACCTGGTATGAGTTTTAAGCTTCTAGGTCCAGGACTTGAACCACAGTTGACTAGGTAGTTGAGTCCAGAGACGTAACCATCACACCATCTGCTGGTCCCTCAACAACTCGACTTGAAACCCCCCTCCCCCGGTTCCCATGGGCACCACATCTCGGCTGAATGAAGGAAATGGAAAATGCTCTTAACTTCCCATGTGTCCAGATGCCCTGCCGGGGCCTATTAAACTCCAGCCGGCAGGTGCAGTTCCCCGCCGACTCGTTTTCTCCTGACGTGTGCTGCTCAGCACAGCCACAGCTGCTGGCCGGCTCGTTCAGGTTCCCTGCCAGCCAGTGAGCTGTGTGAGGAGCGCCCCCAGACCTCGGGCACATGGTGAGTGAGTGGGGCCCCAGGCTGCCGCTCACAGGTTCTGCCAGCAGGAAGGGGAGCCTGCTCTCCTCCTCTCTAGGTCCTTTTCTTGGAAGACTGAGACTCACTGCACTTGCAGCAGGTGAGGGGTCAGAGGAGCGCCGTGAAGAACCCCGGTGTGGGGCCAGCACTGCTGGGGTCGCTGGTGCAGCTTGTGCCAGCTGCTCCGTGGGCTCCTGTGGGCTCGTCTGCCGTCACAGACAGCCCCCGCCAGATCCGCCTCCGGGTCGGGTTGGCTTGGGGCTCGCCGCTTTCCCACGTTTCTCCTTAAGAAGGATTTCCCCTCCCTGGGCCGCGTCGTGGTGTCCTCAGGGGAGAGTGACAGATAAGTCTGGGGTTTCGGACTTCCATACCTCTCTGCCTCCAGTGAGGGCGGAGGCTGCACGGGCTGGCAGTGCTCCAGGCACCGGCATCCTCCTCCAGAGGCTCTGGGTCAGCATCCCCAGCAGGCTTCACCTCTGGGACTGTTCTGACGGGCAGCGGCGACGTCCGAGCACTGCACTGCAGGATGTGCTGGCCATCTGCACGGCCACGTCTGCCCTGGCATCCAGAGTGTCGGCCCTGCCATCCCTTCTTCGGGTGCATCCCAGGTTCACTTTCCCTGGGTGCTGACTTGAACGTGTGCATGTGGTTTAACGCTCCCCCACACTCTGTCTGCAGGACGTGCGGCGTGTGCCTGGGGTGGCCCCGACCCTCGTCCGGTCCGCCTCCGAGACCAGCGAGAAGCGCCCGTTCATGTGTGCTTACCCGGGCTGCAATAAGAGGTACTTCAAGCTGTCCCACCTACAGATGCACAGCCGGAAGCACACTGGTAGGTGGCCCACAGCCTCGGTTCCATCTGCCTGCGGGCGAGGGTCCAGGCTTCTCTGCCTCTCACACCGCTGGGGGCACAGGCCTCGGGGAAGGAGTAGGCACTGCTTGGACAGTTCTGGCCTAGGCGATGCAAAGGCTGCAGGGCTGTCAGCATCCCGAGTGGTCATCCCCTATTTTTTTTTTTGAGAGGTTTTCTTCGCTATAGGGCGCGTACGCTCGCCAGACAGACAGAGACATAGAGACAGAAAGCGAGAAATCACCCCCAGGGGGGATGGTCACGCCGCCATCCCTTCTCCTCCATTCTCCTCTCGGGATCCTGGGCACGCACGCACACACACCCGGTGTGAGTTTTAAGCCACCGGGTCCGAGACGCGAACCGCAGTCGACTACGTGGGAGTCCAGCGACATAGCCATTATGCCAACTGCTGGTTCCCTGCCATCCCCTATTAAAGAAGTCGTAGATGGCAGTGTGGCCATCTCCCAGGGTGATTTCTCACTTCCCCCTCTCACTGTCTCTCTGTCTCTGTCTCTCTCTGGCGAGTGCACATGCACTATGTCAAAAACTTAAAAAAATAGAAAAAGGAAGTCAATGAACTAAGTGTCTTCAGGAAGGGCAGAGCAGCGTGGCGGGAGAACATTCCAGAGAATGGAGACCTGTGTGAGAATTCTGCTTCACCAGGTGCTGAGGCCTGAGTGGGTCACTTACCTCCTCCTGAACACCGTCTGCTTCGCATGGAAAATGGGTGCAGGTCCTAGTTAGAAGCACCCAGTGGGGTGCCCTGTGCCTGCAGTCGGGATGGGTGTCAGGTGTCACCGCCATGGCACTGCGGCCTCTTAGAAGGGAGGAGCCAGCCTGGGTGTGGGGACCAGGTGGTTCTGAGAGGTGATGGGCATGGTGGTAGTAAAGCCTTGGAATCCCAAGATGGCAAGGGACTGGGTTGGGTTAGTTTAACTGGGATGAGCAAATGGATTTTAGTTTAATTTTTGTTCTCCACCTCTGAAGAAAAAAGATTATTTTTGGCATATCAAGGAAAACTGGGTTTCCCCAGGTCACGAAGCCTGCTTCTGGGAAGGGGGCATTGGCCTTGCCTGGTTGTCGGCTGTGAGCAGCCGCGTCACGGGTTTGCTCTTGGCCTGTGGGCACTGGACAGGAAGGCAGCTGGGTCCCCAGGGAAGGCGTGAAGCCCAGCTTTCCGGGTGGGGGGGCGGAGCTGCTCTTTTCTGCTGACTTTGCTGCTGGGACACTGGGGAAAGTGAGCCCCAGTCCCAGCCCGCCTGACCCTGGGCATGTGTGTCCAGGCCGCGTGTGCTCTCGGAGGCCCCAGGAGGTGAACCCGGGGCCTCTCGCTGTGAGCGCCGTTGAGTTACCACTGCTACCCCTGGCCCGGAGCACTTGTGTGCCAGGCTGCCCTTAGGAGTTATTCGCTCTAATCCCCCCACGCACAATCGTCAGGAAGGCTGCAGTAGAAGAAGGTCTCAACTCCTGCCTTGAACTCCAGGTCACAGGCCCCTGCCCGGAATCATGTGGTCAGTCTGGAGCCACGTGTGCATCTGTGAACATGCCAGGAGCGTGTGTGCTCACGTGCTGAGAGGCTGGAGGACCAAGCAGTGCAGGGGTTTCCTTTGGGGGGGTCCTGTGAGATTTCTTGGAAGTGGAAGGGCTGGGACAAGCCCTGCAGGTGGTGGTGGTGGTGGGGAGATGGGGCCGGGAAGCAGAAGCAGAGGTGGGGAGGAGTGGGGAGAGCCCTGAGGAGGGGTGCAGGACCCAGCAGCAGGCTCTGGGGAGGAGTGGGGAGAGCCCTGAGGAGGGGTGCAGGACCCAGCAGCAGGCTCTGGGGAGGAGGGGAGGAGAGTGACTGAAGAGAGCTGCAGCAGGCTCTGGCCGGATGTAGACATAAAGCAAAGGCGAGGCTCCTGCCCTCAGGGATCCAGCCCGGGAGGAAGGTGGACCCTGGCGTAGTCTCAGCTGTTCTGAACTCCGCAGTGAGGGAAGGGTTTAAAGGTGAGCATGAAGTTTCCAAGCAGGTGGCTGAGGAAGTGACGGTGAGGGATGTTGGGTATGAGGTCACGTGAGGGGCCCGGACACGGTGCTGGGAGGGGCCGTGAGCGTGAGCAGAGTGCAAGGAGGCTCGGGGATGACTCGCTCCCGCGTGAGGGGGTACCTCATCGGAAATAGGGGTTCGTGCTGGGAACCCTGGCCACCCGGCCCCACCCGAGGCTCACTCTCGTCCCAGAAGGCGGGTGACTCAGGTCCTCCTAAGGAGGCGGGGAGGCCGCAGCGCACCCGGGGCTCGTGGCCAACGTCTGGCTGAACTCTCTCTCTCGAGGACAGGGTGGGGCTTCTCCGCGCTGGATGGGCCGTTGTGCAATCCCACTTGGAGAAGGGCAGCAGAGACGTTCTCCACGCTGTGGCCCAGGTTTAGCTCGGGCTCACCTGCGGGCTCATTCGCGCTCACTCCAGAAGGCGAAGGCGGAGCGGCCCCAGTGCCCGGCGGTGTCCAGCTGCCCTGGAGGCCCGCCCGCCCTGGGATGCTGCTGCCACTCGGCCTAGGAGTCAAATGTCTGCGGTTGGATTTTAAACGTTCCCCGCTGACGTTCTCTGAGCGCTGCCTTGGTGCGGTCTGCACCACGGCCGGGCTCTGCTCCGAGTCCCTGGAAGGACTCAGATTACCGGCCCCATTTCACGACCAAAAGGTCCTCCCCCGGCGTTTTCCGTGGCAGACGTGAGCCTGGGCAGGAACCTGAGGGTACTTGGAGGGAGGGGCCGTCTCACGTCCTCGGCGCCCCGCCGGCCCTGCCCCTGAGCAAACGCACAGCTGGGGCTCCTCACGCGGCGGTCTGCGTCCCCCCAACAAGCTCCTCGACGTGCCTCGGCCTCGGGCATCAGCCCTGGTGGGGTCTGCCTTCCATGAGACCCGCCTTTCCAGCATCGTTTTCAAATAGACTCTGTCTTCCCCAAGGTGAGAAACCCTACCAGTGTGACTTCATCCGGGCCTGCCCCTGAGCAAACGCACAGCTGGGGCTCCTCACGCGGCGGTCTGCGTCCCCCCAACAAGCTCCTCGACGTGCCTCGGCATCGGGCATCAGCCCTGGTGGGGTCTGCCTTCCATGAGACCCGCCTTTCCAGCATCGTTTTCAAATAGACTCTGTCTTCCCCAAGGTGAGAAACCCTACCAGTGTGACTTCAAGGACTGTGAGCGAAGGTTTTCTCGTTCAGACCAGCTCAAAAGACACCAGAGGAGACACACAGGTTTGTAGGCCCCTGTTGCTGCCAGCCGTGCTCCCTGGGGTCAGGGTCGACGCTGTGGTCCTCGTTGGCGATGGATGAGAGGTTCAGCTATGTGCTTAGTTTTCCAATATTTTTTTTCTAATCTTTGGAGGTTTTATTCTCTTAAGAATAGAAAGGACAGGAGCATTCCACATTTCTCCTGCCCACTGCAGAACCCACTGCAGTCAGAGCCCACCAGCCACAGGCTCCTGGTGTAGTGAGTGTCGCCAAAACCCCAGGGTGGCTGGGAGCAGGTCTGACGCGGAGCTCCCACACAGCTGCCGGGAAGCTGGCCGCTGGTGGTGAACGGATGGTGGTCCTCGAGACAGCAGGAGGTCCTCGAAGGTGCCGGCGGCAGCAGGTGGCACCTTCCTGCTGGGCCTGGGTACTGGGGACAGCTGAGGGCCAGGCAGACACTGCAGGCGTGGCTGGAAATGCCAGCTCCTGCGGCTGTCAGGGGCCGCCCCGGGCCTCGCCATGCCCTCGCCACGCCTCACCACTAGGGCCGAGGCTGAGCTTCTCTGTCCGTCTAGGTGTGAAACCATTCCAGTGTAAAACTTGTCAGCGCAAATTCTCCCGCTCCGACCACCTGAAGACCCACACCAGGACTCATACAGGTAAAACAAGTGCGTAAACTTTTCTTCACATTTATTTTTCATTATTTTTTAACTACTGTTGAATGACGTTGTTTGTGATGAGAGGAATTAGAAAGACCGGTGGGAAAGTTCTAAGGTTCGGACCCCGTTGAGGATGGACAGTGCATGGCTATCTTTAAGCAGTAAGTAACGGAGTGCCTAAAAGGAGAGGGCGGGACTACGACAGGAGCAGGGAGCGGTGTCCAGAGCGAGGAAGGAGAAGCCAGGTCCCCGCTGTCCCCGTTAGCTGCACCCCACTTCCGTCTCTGCGTGCAATGCAATAATCACCTTTATAGGAGGACAGCAAAATTCTAGCAAGCCAGACATTGGTCCTGCTGGGAGCTCATGCCTCGCGACCCTCAGAGAGCCGAGTCCCTGCTCTGCTGAAAGGCGATGCCAGGGAGCAGTTCTGGCCACTGCCGGGTCACATCGGTGTGTGTGGGTTAGACCCTCCCAGCTGGCAGAGGGGGCTGGGAACTGATTCACGG